GCGCCCGTCCCCTCCCGGGTCCCCGTCAGCCGCCCCCTGGAGGCGCGCGGTGACAGCCCGCGCACGTCGCCGTCCCCGCCGGGTCAGCGCGGCCGAGCCCACTCGCAGACGGGGACACCCAGAAGGGGACGTGAGACGGCCCCGCGGGGCGACCCCTGTTCCCGCCGCCCCGGCGGCCTCGGCTCCCCACGCCCCACCGGGCCTGGGCGTCCCTCTCGGGTCCCCTGCGAGCGGAGGGGCAGCGTGGCTGAGCCGTGTGTCGGTCCTGCTGGCTTCGAGGCCACAGGGCGCTGTGAACCCTACAAAATGCCCAAGCCGGGTGGTCCGAGCTCAGAGGGGACCCCGAGCCCCGTCGGCGCCCACGGATTCGGCGGGACGCCAGAGCCTGCACAGCAGCACCCCGCGTGGTGGGCTGTCAGCCGGGACGCCCGGCCCGCAGGCCCCCCGCGGCATACCCCGGCCCGCTGGCCTCTACACGGCCCGCATCCCCTTTCCCTCTGGCCCCTCTGCTGCAGGGGTAGAGCTGGACCACCACCCGGGGCGAGGGAGGACGCCCCTCAGAGGGTCGTGGCACCCCGCGGCCGCCTGCCCCTGACGCGTGCCTAGGGCAGCCGGGGGCGCGCGGCCGGTGGAGACGACACGTGACGCGAGCGGCCCCGCCCCGCTTGCTGGCGAGGGGGCCGGCGCCATCTTGGCCCCGCGCGCCGTGACTCCGGGGGAGCGTGGGAGTCGCCGAGCGTGCGTGTCTGGCTGCCTAGGACACGCTGCCGACTCCCCCGGGAGTTCGCTTCGTTTACTACCGGTGTTTCTGCTCCGAGTCTCGTGAGCCGGGACTGCCTGCGGGCTCCCAGTTACACTTGCGCGGGGCTCTCAGCGGAGCCTAGTGTGCAGATTAAAGCATTTAAGAAAAGGTGGAATATAGGAGACTGGTGCACGGTTAACCAGGCCCATTTCTGTAAGGTACGAAACTTAAGGGACTTGTAGTGGATTTCAGCAATGAAGAGTTGCAAGCAATTTCCTGCTGGTCTGATGAAAAGATTGGGAGGCTAGGATGACCAAGAAAACGGAAGAACTGGCAAAATAAGAGGAGCCGAAAGAATGAAAGAAAAAGGTTCAGCATCCAGAGGACAGACCTAAGAAAGAGGAAAGGAGACTGGAAAGATAAAAATTTGTTTGGTTTGACTTAGTGGCACCTGGTTTCTTACTATTAGATGAAGTTTATAGTGATCTTTGACGTGGCGAACAGAAATCTTTATCAGATTTCCAGAGGAACATGGTGAATAAGATTAGCTACAAGGACAATAACCCTTAAAACTGATTTAAATGGGTTATTTTTGGTTGCTCCTATTTGGATACTTCATTTGCCCAGTAAACTCGTTGTTTACTGTTCTTTGAAAGCAGAATCACCAACATCCAGCACTCTGTTTTAGGAAGAGTTGAAGAAAGTCTGTAGAGTTCTTTGGTAATAGTTGCAAAAATAATCTAACCCATCTTAAAGCTTTGCCATCTGTTCAAAACTTGGTATAAAGATGTAAAAAGCAGTATTTTGCAGGTATAAAGAGTAGGAAAGGCACAAAATCTCATTTTTTCATTTTGAAAAGACACCACTAGCCAGGTGTGATGGCACACTCCTATAAGCCCAGTATCCTCCCTGCAGCAGGAGGACACAAAGTACAAGCAGTTTAGCTCAGGCCTAGTGAGGTCCTGTATCAAAAATAAAATTAAAAGAAAAATTTAAAGGTGGAGGTTATAGCTCAGAACAAAGACTGGTGGTGGGAGGTGAGGTGTCAGACTAAATTGTCTTTAGCGCCTAAATTGATGTAAGAATATAGGACTTGTAGAACCTAGAAATAACCTAGTCAATTGCACTCACCAAGTTTTTCAGGTGTGTGGAAGAACTGCCTTTTAAGAACAGAGCTAGGGGGTGGGGGAGATGGCTCAGTAGGATAAGCGCTTGACTGGCAAACGCAAGGATCTGAGTTCAATCCCTGGTTCCGCCAAAAGAAAAAAAAAAAGAACAGAGCTAGGAACATAGTTGCATGATTTAATAGCTATGTGTTGTATGAATGTTTCATTGATTAATATGATCATAAAGAATATATATAATATAAATATTATATAATATTTATCTAATATATCTTCATATATATATTGGCAGAGCTAATTGAGAATATTTCTGATAAATTATGAGGGTCAGAATTTATGGAACAAAAAGCTTATAAAATGCCAAATTTATGCTACCAAAGTGATATAAATGATCCCTTTTCTCTAAACATACTAACCTCAGTGGTCTCCTAATTAAACGTACTAATGGAGTCCACCATGAAACCTGATAGATCACTCTTAGTTTGGCATTTGAAAATAAAGTTCTCCTGTGGGCTGAGTAAACACTATAGAGGGTAAGTTAGGGTTGGCCAAATAGCTCAACTGACTAAAGCACCTGCTTAGGCAGAGGCAGGGACAGGGGTTTGATCCCTGGTGTGCCGTGCTGGCCATGTTGGCCGTGCTGGCCATGCTGGCCATTCTGGCCTGTCCCCACAGTGTGCTGAAATGGCAATTGAGACTGGGCTTGGTGGCACATGCCTGTAATCCCAGCACTTGGAAGGCTGAAAACAGGATGATGGCAACGTGTCTGATCTGAGTAGTGAGACCCTGTAGACCCTGTACTAAATACATTAAAAAATAACATACATGACACAAAAGACTGTATATAATTTTAATATATAAGTTATTATATGTGTCATCTGATCATCTCCCACGGCATAACAAACCATCTCAACAGCGTACATTCTCAGACTCACTCCTTGGGTTTGAAATCTGGGGGCTGTTTCTTCATACAGTAGGCAGCTTCTGGGAACTCAGAGGGCATCACCAGCTAAAATATGTCTATGTGGCCATTCCAGGTGGCTGACTGTGTTCCTCACAACCTGGCAGCTGTGTGCTGTAAGTGAGCAGTCCAAGAGTGACAGTGCCGAGAGGACAAGGCAGAAGTTGCATTAACTTTAATAACCTGTTCTCAGAAGTCATATAGCATCACTTATATTATGTACTCCATTCTTTGAAGCAGTCACAAAACCACTGTATGAATGACTCTCAATTGAGAAATGTTGAAGTCACCTTGTAAGAAAAACATGCGGAATTACTACAGAAAACAGACCAAATACAAGAAGAAACTGCACCAAGAGGTTCAGGAGGCAGTTTATTTCCACCAGTGGGTCTGACTGGGATTCCTCCCAAAGAGTCAGCACTTTGCCCAGCAGGGTTTGGGGACTTTAATAGAAAGTCAAGTAGGGAGGCAGATTTGACCTTATGATTGACATCATGGGTTGCTAAGGGAGTTTAAACATCTCAAGTTACATTGCAAGGCCTTCAGGTAAACAAGCATGGGTTACACAAAGGAAGAAGTGTCCTATTATCAGGCTTTTCTGGACGTGTCCATCTGGTTGTGGTGGGCATTCTTGGCAGGCTTTATTTAAACTTCAATTTACCTTTCATTCCCCTTCTTTTAGTTAATCAGGAAAATCACTTTCAGACATATTGGTGTTTAAGGCTATATAGGAGATACTGGACCTGAGGGTTATTTGGAGGCTAATACTATTTAACTGTTTAAATAAAGTGAGACAATTTAACAAGCAAGATTCTATTAAGAATATGAGGAGAAGGCCTCTTAATGGTCCTAACAAGCTCCCAGCATGGCTGAGTTTCCCAGGGAGATCCACCAGTAGGAGCCTCTCTGTCTCAAGTTGGGTGGTTTATCCATTCTTACAACTGGTGGGTAATGATGTTAGGGAACTGTTTCTCTAACACCAGATTTATGGTAGCAACACTTTTCCTCAAAGAGCAAGCAAGTGCCCCCTTGTTGAGCTGTGAGGAAGTCTAATGCCCTGTGGTTTTGAAGAATTACCACAGCTAAGGAATCAACTTGGTCTTGACACCCATTGATGTCTGCCTAAACTGCTATAAAATCATTTTCTGTTTGTACTGTTGTTCAGCCCAGGCCCAAGGCAGTGGCAAGCACGTGGACTAAGCAAGCTGAGGAGGAGAAGGTGCAGATTAGTGCTGACAGTTATCATAACCCTAGGAAAGGCAGCTCAGAATACACAGTCTAACAGTTACACCAACATAAAAGAATGAAAATGACCTTATGGGGAACTTTCTAATCCTCTGAGGACACAGCCCAGAACCCTAGGGCAAATACTAAGATTAACCAAAAACCAAACTGGGTAACAGAACATTAATCAATCAGGGCAGATGCTGTGGTGTACAGTGTCTGTCTGGCTCCAGCTGTATGTAGAACCATCAATTTCCAGAGTGATACAAGCAGGGCTTTGAGTGTGTTGTCTCTTCAGTGTTGTCTCCAAGGGAGTTGACTCATCCAGGTAGGCTTTCTTTCTTTCTTCTTCTACTTCTTTTTTTTTTTTTTTTTTTTTGTGTGTGTGTGTGTGTGTGTGTGTGAAGGGTACCAGGGATTGAACTCAGGACCCTGCACTTTGCAGGCAAGCACTTGTTCTACTGAGCTATCTCCCCAGCCCTCAGGTAGGCTTTCCAGCAGTCATCTGGGTGAGGTTTCTTGACCTAGAATGATGGATCTATAGCTGGATCTCAGAAACCTTTACTGTTGTGGGAGTAGTCAAAGTAATTAGACAGGGATCCCTCTAGGAACTCCTTTTTCCACACTAGGTCTCCTGGGTTGAAAGTAGGGGGGAGGGTCCCTGAGGGGATGATTGCCCTTTCAGCTATGTTTTCATGTATTTGAAAAAAGGTTTTTTTCCTAACTGTATAAGTTGTTCCTGCAAAAATATGTTACCTACCTGACGTAGGTCTCCCTGAAGACCCCTAATTATGGGTGGGGTCTTCCATACAAAACTTGAAAGAGTGTATATCCTGCGGATCCTGGCGAAGTCTGGCCCTTGCGGAGGGCCATGGGAAGCAAATCTAACCATAGTGTCTAAGTTTCTTGGTAATACTTAGTTAATATTGATTTTGAAGTTTTATTTATACTTTCAACTTTTCCAGAGCTTTGTGGCTAAGTCTGAGGTATACAAGTTCTATTTGATTTCTGTGTGTGTGTGTGTGTGTGTGTGTGTGTGGGTGGGTGGGTGGGTATTTTAGGAAAGGGTCTACAGAGTGTTCAGGGTCTCACTACTAGATTGGAACTCACAGTGATCTGCCTGTTTACAGCCTCCCAAGAGCTGGGATTACAGGCCCGCACCACCATGCCCAGTCTCAATTGCCTGTGTCAGCATGCCCCAGGGGCCGGGCCAGCATGGCAGGCCCAGGGATCGAACCCCCAGCCTGAGTCTGCTTGCAGGCGCTTTAATCCACTGAGCTATTTGGCTGGCCCTGATTTTTAATTCTTTAATCAACTTCTGGGTCATTTCTGTCACAATGCAGGCCCATTATCACTGCCTATGACTAGGGGAAGCCCCTACCTAGGGATAATCACTCTTAGTAATACTCTACAGGCTTTAGCAGCTTTTTCTGTTCTCATGGGAAATGCCTTCAGACTTCTAGAGTAAGAACAGACAAGTACCAGAAGATACTTGTAGCCCCTACTTGGCTTCATTTCTGTCAGATCTATTTGTAGGACTTCAAATGGGAAAGTCCATTATGTAGGGTAGTGGGGGGGGGTTAGGTCCAGATAGGGGTTCAGTTCTTACACAGGCTTGACTTCTCTAACAGAGGCACAGATCAAAGCTAATTTTGAATGTGATAGTAGCATTGTAGAAACTGGTTCATAGTAGTTTTTCCTCCCCGGTTTACATCATGGTTGTATTTGACTCAGGTATAGGCCAAATTCTGTGGAACTGTCATCTGATTATACAGTGAAGTCTACACCCTTTGGGCTCATGTAGGCCCCTTTTTGTTGTGCCCATTTAATTTCTTCCATGGAGTCACAGAGGGGCTCACTGCAGATACTAAGAACAATTTTAGGTAGTGTTTCATGTTGGGCTTCCGTAATTTTGTACTAAATCATTTGCTCCTCCGGATAGAGTCTTCTGCTGCCAATTCAGCAGCTTTTTCTGCTTTGTGATCGCCAAGAATGATAGTGTCTTTTATTTTTAGTGCCCTTTACAATGGATAAGAGCGACCTTAGGTTTCCAAATTGCAGTCAGGAGTTGAGAAATTTTATCCTTGTTTTTGTTTTCTTCTGCCATGAGAAGTTCACATGTCTCGTACACCATTCTGTGTACATGAATAATGGCAAAAGCATACCTTGAGTCAGGATACATGTTTATCTGTATCCTTGTTTATCTGTATCTTACCTTTTGCCCAGGTGAGAGTTTATACTAAGGCCCACAGTTCAGCTCATTGAGCAGACTAGTTTTGGGGAGGAGGCCTAGTAGTGATGACTATATAACTGGTCTAGTATTTCCCATCCCTGACTGAGCTACTTCTGTCCGTAAACAGGGTGTACTCAGTGTCAGGCAAGGATTCTATCTGTAGATCTTACCATCTAGCAGAGTTTACCAGTCAAGGTACAACAGTCATAGTCTACAGGTCCAGACTCAATGGGCAGGAAGGTGGCTGGGTTTAGGTGTAGTGAGTTGAAAAATAAATCAGGGATTCCTACAAGTAATCCCTGGTACAGGGTGTCATGGCTGTTCATGAGCCACAGGTATCCCTAACTGTTGAGTAGCTCTAGACAGCTGTGGGACCTTGACTATTAGGCTTTGTCCTGGAGTCAGTTTGTCAGCCTCTTTGATCAGGAGAATGGGAGCTGCCACTGCCATTGAGTCCAGATCCTTTGATAAATAGGCAATTGATCTTTCCCAGGGACTGATCTCCTGGAAGGCAGATATGTTCACCACTCTACCACCAATGCAGGCAGTGCTGATCTTCTGTGTGAGAACCCCCGATAGGGACTGTCAAGCGCAGAGTTGTGGTGGCTGAGCTGATGGCATGGAGGTTTCGCGCTGGCTGGTAGTCCCCATTTGGGTTTTTCAGTGGGAGGAGGGAAGTGTTCCAAAGAGACTGGCAGTCTACCAAGATAGACTGCCAGGTGAGAGATGAGGGGCTGATGCCAAGTTGGGCATCTCTTGAAATAGGGTATTATTTAACAGCAACATAGATTGCAGTGGGACAGAGGTGGATCGCCAAGGGTGCACAATTGATTGCAAGTAGGTGGGGGGGTGAGTCCTCTGCCCATACTTCTAGAAACAAGTCTCTCAAAACTTCAGGGTCATGATTGTCAGGCATTTCAGGCTGATGCAAGTACCATTCTTTTACTCAGTGTACAGTCAGAATCAATATTGGGTTTGGAGCAGTGGGCCAGAGCATGAGAGAAGTTGGCTGATTTGGAGCAAAAGAAACGTCACTCCCAGCTTGGAGAGGAGATGATATCCCAAAAGAGGAGTAAAGCATTCAGGCATATATAAGAACTGATGTTTGATAAAGTGTCCACCAATCTTGCAGGACCTTCTCTGGCAGAATTTCTCTTCAGAGGGAGTTTCCATGATGCCAATAACTTGAATTCACTGGGAGGTCAAAGGAGCAACAGGCTGAGTTACAACTGAATGTTCAACCCCACTGTCCACCGTGAAAGTCATCAGTTTTCCCTGGATACTGGCAATGACTGTGGGCTTTCAGGAGCTCAGCCTAATGAAGCCTGGTCTATTGATTTGTTCTCATCAAGAGAAAGAGAAAAGGCTCAGGCTGGGATGGCTCCAATCATATTCCTTTTCACCCCACAGCTGGAAGGGGCCATTATCCTTCCAGTGTCCAAATTGTTTGCAATAAGCACATTGGTCAGCCACTGGAACATCAGGGCTGCCTCCAGTTTTATATTGTGAGTCTTGTGGGGCCCCCTTGTATTGGGTATCGCAGAGGGGCTGGCCCGCACAGATAGTTCAGGAACAAGCTTTCTTA